TACATATATGTTTCCACTACTACACAGGGATCATCGATCCCTGAACGATCTTAAAAACCTACTTTGCTGCAAATCATGTGCGCTTCGACCTTTCCTGTGCCATGCCGCACCTGTTGATGCGGAAGTTACGTGCACGGTTGCCATTGAGGTAGGCCGTGAATGGTGCGCAATGTTCCGCTTTCGAGTAAGTAAGACTGCTGGCGGCTGATCATGAGATGCTGCACCATGCTGTGTTACACGAAGCTATACTATGAGCATGCCAACACTATAGAGGGGCGTATTGCTAGCCTGGATCGGAGATATGCTGCCTTCTGAGGTTTCGGTCGTCACCTGGGTTTCCTTTTGCCACCAGCGCCGACAGGGCCGCTCCATACTGACGGTACCCTGCGCCGTCTTGAGAGGCAGGGCCCGAGCTCCGAGCCGCAGGCGTCTGTTTCGAAGCTCTTGGTGCCCTAGAGGCTATGCCACAGCATGCAGCGAGCGACCGAAGGCGCGATGGGGGCGGGGTCGGGCGCGTGAAGGGGCTTTGATTGGATGTTGGAAAGAGGTTTGAAGTTGGTTTGGTGGGTTTCAGTGTTTTCCAGTAGCCGATTTCTGGTATCTGCTCTTCGGCTTTCGCATGCAAAGACCGACCCCAGAAAGCATCAAATCATGGCTTGCTCTTGCTGGTGGGATTAGAAGTAAGCCTCTCGGTCGGCCAGGCCCCCGACTCGCCAGGGCAAGCACAACTTCAACTTCGTTCAGCCGAAACCTAAACCCAAAGCTTAGGCTGCAAGTTCCTCGCTGGCATTTCCCAAATGGTTCGTCAACAGTATGGACATGACATGACTGAGATGATGGAGAGCCACTGGCTTGCTCAGCAAGAAGATGAAGGAATACGTGGAAAGCTACTGAATGGATCAGGGTCATGGAAGCAATCAGGGGTCGAGGGATGTTGTGGATGCGCAAATTGATGTTGAATGGCGGGTGAAGGACGATGTCGATGGGAGGAAGAAGAGAGCGGCTCTTTGAGAATGGAGAGATAGTCGAGCAGCATGGCATTGGAGCTTGAGTGTCGGCATGCTTCCCAGTCTCTTTCCGCATTGAGGATTGCCTCAGCGAAAGTGACCTTATGCATTCGAAAAACGAGCTGGAACCTTGCACTTTGAGCCCTGAACCCAGAAGCTTGAAAACTCTAAAGCCCAAGACTCCGGAGGCATCGATCCCTTGTGAGGCCCACAAGGCCCACAAAGGCAAAGAATGCTGATGATGAGCCTTGATGACTTGATCGGGAAATCCCCGAGTTCCCAGTCACCAAACACGAATAATTCCTAAGGGCCGTAGTCCGCACTAGCCGAGTTCGGAGGCAGTGCTCTGTGACGCCTTTGCTGGCTGTTGCGTCGGTACGGGACAGTTCCTGTTCCTGGTAGGCTGGGCAAACGGCTCTTGCTTTGTCTTCTTGAAAATTGAGGGATGCATCGAAGTCCAAGGTTCCAGTTTCCAGGAGCAGGGCTAACTGGTAGTAGGACCTAGAGCTTAGCTGGATGGTTTCTTGGTCTAAGTCTTGTTGTGCTCTTCCGAAGCAGGTTCACCAGTCGTCTCCAAAGCGGTCGGCTTCATGTTTGGAACTTCGAGCCTGCTCCTGTCGGTGCTCATGGGCATCGTGGTTTTCAAGGCACGGTTAGTAACATAAGCTTCCGCACCTAGCAATCGCAGAAGCCATCGGAAACACATCGTTAGAGCTGTGAAGAGTCCTAAACACAAGGCCATGACCAAGAGCGACACGCACATACTAAAGACCTTTCGTTTGGCATGCTGTTGCTTCTAGGGCCAGCATGATGATCCACGGCTTTTCCATGACCGTGCTAGTGCATTGTTGGTTCAGTTGTGGTGGTAATTGGACTATGTTTGCCACACAGTTGGTGGGTGATGGTCGTAGCAATAGCAGTGGCAGGAGCAGTCGTAGTAGTAGTAGTAGTAGTAGTAGTAGTAGTAGTAGTAGTAGTAGTAGTAGTAGTAGTGGTAGTGGTAGTAGTAGCAGTTGTGGGAAGTAGTCGTGGTAATCGTAGTCGTAGTCGTAGTCGTCGTAGTGGTAGTTGTGGTGGTAGTAGTAGTAGTAGTAGTGGTAGTGGTAGTGGTAGTGGTAGTGGTAGTGGTAGTGGTAGTGGTAGTGGTAGTGGTAGTGGTAGTGGTAGTGGTAGTGGTAGTGGTAGTGGTAGTGGTAGTGGTAGTGGTAGTGGTAGTAGTGGGAGTTGGAGTTGGAGTTGGAGTTGGAGTAGGAGTAGGAGTAGGAGTAGGAGTAGGAGTAGTAGTCGGAGTAGTCGGAGTATACATGTATATGTATATGTATATGTGTATGTATATGTATGTGTATGTCTATATGTATATGTATATGTATATGTATATATATATGTATATGTATATGTATATGTATATGTATAATATGTATAATATGTATAATATGTATATATGTATATATGTATATATGTATATATGTATATATGTATATATGTATGTATGTGTATGTGTATGTGTATGTGTATGTATATGTATATGTATATGTATCTGCATATGCATATGCATATGTATATGTATATGTATATGTGAAAGGAAAACAGCTGAGCCTTGCAGAATCTGATCAAAGCAGTGCTGGCAGGAATTGCGTGGGAAGAACTTGGTGCAGAAGCTGCTCACCGCTGTCGCTGTTATTTGTTTGGTCTTGGCACTGTCCTTGATGTGCATCGCTTCTTGCCTCGTTATGATTATGATTGGCTGTAAACATGTTCGGTGATATCACTGCTATCACTCGTATGTTTATGACGATAGCGGTTGCAGTTAGTTTTTTTCCTGGATACTGGTACATTTCTTCCGGAAATAGCGAAACACCAGCTCCATCCAGCTTCTTGTCCGTGTCATGTTCATGCGTCTCTCTGTCTCTCCCCCTCCGTGGCTCAGGACCTAGGAGTAGGAGTAGGACCTTCCTGGCAGAATGGCAGCCCGTTGCAGTTTGACGGCTCGATCTGCCCGCGCCCTCTCTATGGAGTGTGTTGAGCTGAACTGGAGTCATTTTACCACTCTTGCTGCTGTATTGTTTGTTGTCAGTGCTGTATTGTTCCTACGACAAGTGATGTGCTGATGTCGCGGTTGACCTGTCATGCTGTTGGTTTGCCTGTCTCTGTTTCTTGCCATTGCTGCGCATTCTCAGGCATCGTTGGGACTGTGAACCGCAGAGCCGCCGACTTTGCCAGAATTTGTAGCCCTTTGTGGAGTTTTGCCAGAGTACGGGCCTTTCTGCATTGGTGCTCGAAACACGTCCCCTGTCACAGAAGCACCAACATAGAGTCTGAGCAGTCGGCTCCTCAGAAGCAAGATACCCGGAAACCTCTAATGTCAAGAAGCCGTCAGACGTAATCAGGCACATACAAGGGCGCAGGCCCCAGGGCTGTATGAGCGTTTCATAGTTGACGAAGTAGAGATGACAAGTATTTGCCTCAATAGTGACAATAGTGCTTGGAGGAAGTTTGTTATGACACAGACCATGTTTGTACTTATCTTGCTAGCTTGTTTATTATCATAGTAGTGGGAATGCTGGACGGTGAGAGTAGACTGTTATCCTGTTGCTACTAAAGTGGCTGCAGCAGTTTTGCCGGAGTGAAGGAACAGAAGGAAACTATGAAGTACACCCCAAAGGGGTCGCCAGTTTCTCTGAAAGCTTCCCGCTCCTCCTTCACATTGCTTTTCACATTACTGCAGGTCTTTCATATTGGTGTACTAACATGATGGTTCGTTCTCCACGGTTGGGACTATGACCGTTGGTATCGGAAGCACGTCTCATGTGGTTGAGTTCTTTGTCTTTAATGCCCGGTTTGGGAGTTTGGGGCTTGGCTCGAGGGGAGAGAACCGGAGGTTCGAAATCCCTTTCGAAGCAAACTTTTTGCCTCACGAGAAAACAGCAGCTTGCTGTGCCACTACTAGGGAGGACTAGGTCGAGTGTTTGCAATGCAAGCCATTGAACTTCCATGGACCGCTGGGTAAACTTGGTTTGGCAGTATCACTGACATTTTCAAGCAGCTGCGTCTTGGGCGGCCTTTCGAGCTACTACTCACTGAGTAGTACTGTAGTACCGCTAGTACTGGCAATGCGCCTAGCAGTATTTAAAGTAGTAATGATGGTACTAGTAACTACTGGTATTGCAGCACTAGCAACTAGCAGTAGCAGGTAAGGTTTATCGGTTTCAGGATATCGTGAAGTTCCATTAGATGTAGTTTCCTGCAGTTGAAAGCGAAATCCAAAACTTCGCATTGAAATCCCGCAGTCCATGTGACCACTCGCGGTGGTGCACCACCCGATGTCAACCTGCCGCAGTGCCCTGTTGGGTGCTCTAGGCTATTTAGTAGCGACGACATTTTACGTGTCTTGCCTTATGACCTCCAGGGTCTGGGAGCTCTGGTGTCAAAATGTGGGCAGCATGTCTCTGGTTGAGCCCTTCGCGAGTCCAGGAAGCATGTCATGACACTCCAGACTCCAGCTTTCGTGAAGCTTTAATCATTGTCTCCTGCAAGTCCAACGCAGCCCAAGCCCTGAAGACGGACTGCAGTACAACAGTGCCGAGCAGATCTTAGCATGCTTGGTCTCTTCAAAGCTTTTGCAGGGTCTGAAAGGGCATGTGCTTTCCGTCGACGACGATAGCAGCAGTGCTTAAAGGAATAGCATGAAGAACGACAGTAGCAATGGCATGTAACGCGCTCGTTATTAGAATAATACTGCTAGTAACAACGTGTAACAACTTGTTTCGGGCGAACCCTATCAATGAGTCGTGTCTTCATCCTGCCTGATGATATGCACGTTCTACTCCTGAATTTGTATTGGACATGTTTGTGGTTGTGATACAGCTAGGTACGTTGAATGTGCCGGAACCACTCCATTTCTAGTACATCGCAGCAAATCCATCCAGAAGACAATGGCGACGATGTGTCGGTGGCGCAAGATGGCTTAAAGGGCTGCTGCCGCCCCTTTTGCCAATGGTCTCGGTGCTGCTGGCCTACGCCACGTACCAGCGCTGCGTGTTGTACTCGCCGCTATTGTCAGGCTCTCTTGAAGTGATAGCGATAGTTTCGACTTCGACGGGACTATGGGCATGCACAGTGTCCAGGCGTGTACTGGTTGCTGACTGGCACGCTTGCGGTTTATGTCGGGGACTGAGTGGGCGGAGTAATCTCAAGCAATAAAAATGATGCATCACAGCCAGCAAGGCTCGTAAGCTGCTGGTGCGAGGGTTTCAAGGGTTTGTTCGTGTTTGATTAGGGTTTAGGGGTGTCAGCAGCGGCATCAGCTTGTTGCTTGTGGAATCGCTGTCTCGTGCTTTCATTGCATGCTCGAGTCTCACCAGGTCGTGTATGCAGCCATCACCAGCAAGAGCCATCTTCTTCTGGAGGACCGAAGCCCGGCGTGCCAGCTTCATGGGCCCGGCCCGGTGTGACCAAGCACGTGTGTCTCGTGGTCGAGTCAAACTAACTCAGGGACCCGATGCCTATAGCTTCGCTGGTCGTCATTGCAGCAGGTATCAGCAGTAGCAGTAGTGTTATCGTTGTTAGCAGCAGCAGCAGTGCCACAGGCAGCAGCAGCAGCGGTAGCGAAAGGAGGAGCAGGAGCAGGAGCGGGAGGAGCTTGTGTCGTCTTCCTTGCGACAATGCTTCGATCGGTTCTGCTTGATGATTGAGCAAAACTGCTATTTCCACCCAGTGGGATGAGTGGGATGGGTGGTCATGCCTGCACATTCTCAATGCCACGGCGGCCATTGTGCCTGCACCTTGGAGTCGCCTGGGTACCCTCACGTGAGTCGAAGGAGCCTGTGTTGGCCGAAGCACGCGAATGGCCGAACTGAGCTCAATCAACATAACCAACTATCCGCAGGTATGTAACGCGTCGAGCGTTCTAGTCGGGACAGGCAGAAGATCAAATGCACGATTGACAACTCATGGAGAAGCAGACGCAGCTTTTCCTTTGATTCATGTTGATCCGTAGTCACTTGCAGCGGCAGATGCGCACCGAATCAGTTCTGCTGCAAGCCAGTCGATTTGCCGTCCAGTTGTGCGTGGTGGTAGTCCGGGGCCCGTAGCCGTAGCCGCCTCTGCGTGACCCTCCTGTTTAGATGACCAGGGTGAAGATTCGATGGACGCTGTAACACTTGACAGAGCATAACCGGCTCACCCCACGGCTATAGTTTGCAAGTATTTTAGTCTAGCGCCCAGCGAGCCCGCAGAGAAGGGCAGCGGCCTTCGAGGGTCTCCGCCGACATGGGGCTAACCTCAGTCGTCCCTGCCTCTGGCTGCCGTTTCGCCCGGCGGAGGCAGCTAGGAGTCTAGGAGGGAAGAGGCTGAGGACAAATTGGGACAGGTGCTGGCAGGTTCTGAGCACGTAAACGTAGGTAGAGCAAATATTTTGCACCACGGTCTCCATCGGTAAGCAAACTGTAGTGTGTGCACTGAGACACTGTCCATTGTGGAAGCATCGTGTTCGGCCATGCAGTGCACTCTTCGTTTCCTGAACCTTTGCCACCGTGGAAACAATCGCCGAGGCCTTTACTTCGTACAAAGTTTTTGGGACGAGCAGTGTCCGTCTGGCAGACAAGCGGAATCCGTGGGAAAAGCCACGTCGGCCCCGTCGTCTGACAAAGATTCAGAGAGACGTCATCACACTATGTACCTGGAAGCAGCACAACATCTATCCTTCCGCGGTTCGTTTGTAGCCACCTCGGCTTCATGGACCTGCTTCAAATGTCATGTGGGGATCCTCATTGGACGGAAATGCTTTGATGTATTCCTGACTTCATGGTGCGTATACAACAAGCACCAAGTTCCTCGCAACGGTTTGTGCCATCAGGCGGAACCGTCTGCCGTTGTTACAGGTGCAGCGCAGCCGAAGTAGGCATATCCGGCCGACCAGCCGGCTGTGTGAAGAGGTGCGAGAAGACCGAACAATGAGTTTGCTGTTGGAATTGGTTCGCCAACTGCGGGCGGGTTGGGGGACGGATTACGCTGAGACGACGGCCATTAGTTGTGCCATCGGAGTGCACCGGCACAGGTCAACACAGACGAAGGCAAAATCAAGCTTTGCAATTGGTCCGAATGTTTCTTCGCATTGGCCCTGCTGAGTTGGTGTGCACTTGGTGTGCAGGGAGTTTTTTTTGTTTCTGTTTTTTGCTGTCTGTCTGTTCTCAACTAAACATGATGCTTCTGTCTAAGAGTCTAGCTGCCGGCTTCGCACGAGCAGCAGCTTGCAGAGGTGCCCTGGCTCCAGGCGCTTGCCAACAATCGCTGGCAGCCGCATCCAGTGTGAAGCTCGTGTTTGGGTTGCATCGGGACTCACATCGGGACCGCCATGATCTTTCCGGGGACAGTATATGTTAGAGCTCCTTTCGGGATCGACGGTCGCGGTGAGTATGTGTGCGCGAAGTTAGGTGAGTGCCGGCTGGAGGCGTGCTCTGCTTCATGCTTCGCCCCGTTTGCCGGACCACTTCTTGAAAAGGGTCGTCGGACCGCAGCCCGATGACCTGCCTCCTCCAGCCAGGCCCCGCCAGCAACCAGACAGCCGCGTGCGGCATCCTTGGCACAGCTGCTGGGCATTGCTCATGCCTTGGGTTGTGTGGGCTGACGCTTTGCCTGTACAGCGGATGCGCCGTCCCGAGGCTGCTGCATGTTGCCTACGCCTTGCCTGCGTGCGGTAGACCCACGCAGGATAGGATTGTCGGCCCTTCCCGGCAGGTGTCTGCAGGAAATCCTCCACGATGCGCCCCCGCCCGTGGCCCGCCTCCGACCGCTTCCCACCCCTCGGCAGCGCACATCTAGATTTTTCGTTCGTGCATGCCACTTCCGTTCCACATGAGCTCTTGCCCCTCCTTGGCTTGGTAACTGCACAGTGACGCTCCCTCGTTCGGCAGTGCCCAAGCGCCCTCATAGTACCCGCGTAAAGAAGCCTTTAAAACAGGACAGAGGTTTAGGGTTTAGGGGTTTAGGGGTCTGGGGTTCAGGGTGCAGCGGTTGAGGGTTTAGGGATGTTTAGGGGTTTACGGTTTTGGGTTTGATGGTTTGGGGTTTAGGGGTTTAGGGTTTAGGGTTTAAAGTTTAAGGGGTTGGAGTTTAGGGCCGGGCCAAAAAAAGGGGTCCGGTTTAGAGTTTAGATACTCATCATACCCAACAACCTGAGCCCCTAAACCCTAAACCTTACGTCTCAAACCCCAAACCCGCAACTCTTCAGCCCCAGACTTTGCCCCACATTGATTGCAGCACGCTGCGATGCTCGGGTCCAGGGTTGAGCGTCACCGCTACTCAACAAAGATCTAAACCATGGTCGTACGGAGAGACGCCCGAGACCGTCACCTCTTTCGTTCCGCTCCTGTCGCCCTCGACCGTGCGGCGCTGCTCTCCAACCTCCGCAGAGCCCGCAAGGCCGCAGCGCCGGGACCGAGCGGTTACACGGCCGAAATCCTTCGTCTGGTCTTGGAATGTCTTGGATGACGAGGAGACGGCTACTCTTTTGGTGATGTTTCTTGTCTCCTCACCGGGGCTCGCCTTCCCGAGTTGGCATGGCTATCCGCAAGCCCTCGGGCGGCACTCGAAGCCTTGTGGTCAAGGATTTCTTGCGTCGCCTGGTTGCCCGCACTCTTGCCCAACATATACGCGCTATCGTCGCGGGCAGGGGCTGAAGCCTTGGTGCACAGTCGTCTCAGTCGACGCCACGGCCGCGCATGACCTCGTGAGCCGCGAGGCGATGCTCACTGCAGTGCGGGATTCCCCGGCCCTCGCCCCCTTGTGCCCTCAGCGCGCCTGTGGTACTCGCGGGAGTTTGTTTACCCTCGGAGACCAAGCACACCGCAATGATGTCTACATCCTTGCCTCATCCGACCGGGTTGCACTGCTCTACCGCCGCCTCGAGGAGCTGATCTGGCAACGGGCCCGACTGCGTTTAAATGCCTCCAAGACACGAGTCTGGAATGCTGCGGGAGTGCTGCCTTCTGCAGTTCTGCAGCTTGCGCCCGAGTCGCAAGTCTGGGTTTGGGACCTCGAGCCCGGAACAGCGCGGCCTCATTGCCTTAAGCGTCGACATGGGCAGTCGGGCCTTCATCGAATCGCACATGCAACAGTCACTTGCTCGCCAAACCTTCTCGTGCTGTCCGGTCTTTCCCGCCAGGAGCTACAAGGGCCTACGCTGGAGCGGCGCAAGCATAGCATGTACCCGGAGCATCTCGAAGCTCGCGAGGGGCGGCCCGCAAAAGCTGCTGGTGCTCAGCTCGGAGATCGGGAGCCGCTGGAACGCAACAGCGCAGGACTTCGTTCGTGACCTCGTCCGCCTCCGAGCTCTCCGCACCGCGCGCAGTGCATCGGGCCGCGTCCTTTGGGTGGGCGCGACGTTGGTGGGGAGCCTTGTCTGTTGCGGTCCAGCTCGCCGTTGCAAGCGCAGCACTGGGGTGCTCGTGGCCAGCCGTCCCAGTGCCGGGGCCGAGCGACGGCCCAACACTGGACCGTGTGCTCGACCTCGCTGCTCACGAGGCGCCAAGCCGCTTGCCCTTGCGGCCCTAGACCGGGACCGCGCGTAGAATTGTGATGCCGTAAGAGTGTCGTAGCTCCGGAACTCCACCCTATTCTGACCCCAATGTTCCTTTTTAACTACAGTCCGTCGGAAGAAATCGCGGTGGTAGCGGTGAAAACCCCAAAATCCCGGGTCTTGGTCTGTGTTAAACTGGCGATGCTAGCCTTTCATTAACCAACACTATAAGACTGGTCCGACTAAGAGTTATTACCCAGTCCATTGCACTACTAACGCCAAGCGGACTTGAATCGCAAGAGTGATGACACTGGATTCCTATTGACAACACTTAATTCGTAACGTGCACAAACAACAAGAGATATGCACAATTATGCACACTCTTTGTTGGAACAGCTTAGTTTTTCGAGGGAAATACCAATATATTTCCCGTGGGAGAAGATGGTATTGGGCGGAAGCACCAACTGTTGCCTAGGAAAAAAACGGTCTTGGGCAGGAAAACATTTTTTCGCAGAGAAACATGGCTTTAGCGTAAAGACAAATTTATATATATATATATATATATATATATATTTTTTTTTTTACGCACACTTTTTGCGAGCAGTACGAGCGCGGTCCCAGTGCACCTGCAGTCCACGTGGCGGCGTCAGCCTAGGTCCGCAACGGGAGCCGGCTGAGGGCAGGGGCGTGCAGCCAGCGCTCGTCCTGCGAGGCGACGGTGTCGAGAAGGAGCTCCAGCAAGGAGCCGGCGAGGGCACTCTGCGCTGCGACGGCAATGATGCTGCTCCAGCGAGACACATAGGCTGCACGCAGAGCCGACCGAAGAGCAATTTACTAAACAAATTTTTCTTTTTGGCAGGAAAAAGATGATTTTGGAAGTTTCTTCCTAGG